TGTAACGAGCTGCAAGCCGTGATATCGTGCTCAGACTAACATTCAGACGCCTGGCAGCAGAGGATTGGTAATCACCAGCGTGCATTCTTTCATGGCGATGTTCCTTGTCGGAGCGTCAAGACGTGGCGTAGTGATTTGACCTTGAAACTCCTTCAAAATGCCGATTTCAGGAGGCAATCTTGATTTTTAAAGCACAATTCAACTGTTGCGTTGTGGCGATGCGTTTATAATTCTTGTAAGAAATCTCATCAAAATCAACATTTGCAGGTAAAGTCGATTTTTCACTTGTTCAATTGTGTAAAATCATGTTTACAACACTATGGTTACATATTTTGACGATTGTTTGAACACAATAGGTAAGTAATAGATTTTTAAAAATACAAAACGCCTATGCGCTTTTTGGGGAGGATAGTATTTTATCATTGATAATCATTTGTCAAGAAAGACTAGCGAGTGAGTGAGTTTGGCTTCATGCTGCTGTTAGCAATATTGCTGGAATACTGCTGAAAGTTTCAAACAAGCAAACGAACAAACAAATAAGCATGACTCTTAGCCTTGATACTCTCATGACTTTGACCTAGGATATTAGTAAATTAGTCGGGTGTTGTCCTTTCAGGCGTTGATAGTTCTCGAGGTAGTCCACCACTGGAATATATTTGATGTACATGGACAGTCTTAGCTGTAACGTTGATATAAAAACTTTGCTTTGCGTTATTCTTTGGAGTGGACAAAATATGTATAGTATGTGTTACCACTGCTTCGCCGTCATTAATCCATCCAAAGTCACATCCTCCAGGACACTTACCAGTCATTTTGTCAAGACTTATGGATTCGAACAACACACTTCCACACAGGTTCCAGTCACAGTGTGTATATATCTTATCTTAGGTCATTACCACCGACATATCCTCCATTGAAGCTATTTAGGGAAAGCAGGTATCACTTATGATGTGCATGACCATGCCAGACAAAACATTTTAACGAATCAGTCCAACGTAAGTGCCTACTTCACACTGACCCACATTCAACGAATCAGTGATTGCAGAGCTGTAAGTACAGATCAAGCAAAAGACCCAGAATTTCGAGTTTGCAGTAAAGAAAAAGTGTTTATCAAAGCCCATATTCTCTCTGTGAAGGAGTGCAGTTCGTAAAGTTCTGAATTGGAACTGATATACAGCCCATATAATACATTCTACCATGGCTACGTTAAAGAGGCTCGAATTTGATTGGTCAATCAATAAAATTAGACGCTATCAATTTTGGATTGACAATGCGTCTGATTTCTCAGCGCTTCACTGCGCACGTATACATCACTGCCGCACTACTTCAGCTTGGCCACCAACATGACTAATATACTCATGTCAATAATGGTTGTCATTCCCCTCCCCACCCCAACCCCTCTCCAGTTAAAACAATGGAAGGGGGTGACAATGTTGCAATGTTAAAAAAATACGAACGAAACCTACCACTCCCTTTACTGACGAGTTCAATTCGCCTCTCGTCCCATGCCGGATCACGCAGTGTATTCCGCAGGACGAGGAAGTTCGATATTAAATCGGAAATGGTAGAAAGGAGATAAACGCACTGTGTTTGGAAATTAGATGAATGTTACACCGAGCTGATAGTTTCTAAATTCGTCTTTAAATGTAATGTAGAGACTATCATTTTGGTCTAACAATCATCTAATTTCCAAACACAGTACGTTTATCTCCTAAATAAACCATTTACGTTCGTAAACATTGTACAATGGTATCAAGAGATTAGGCTAGTGGTAGAGAAATGCATTAAGTTTTAGGTTCTTAAGAGGCATATAGAAGTTGGTATTCAGGTATAAGACAAAATATTATAAATGTCAGCTTCATCTTTGTTGTATAATTAATTCTTCTTTATTGTATTATTACGTTTTAGGTCTAATGAATCTTAACAGAAACGTTGGTAAATTTAACGTTGTAGGAACATATGTTGTTACGAGAGGGTGAATAAATGCACAATTAGTGATGTAACTTTAAAAGAGGAAAATAGTGAATAACCGCATCCACATAATCTCGCAGAGTGAACAGACGTGATGTTGATCAAACATTCAGGCTGACTATCTCAGGTAAATAATGATGCTGCAATAATGTACGTCAGCAATCAATGGCCGATGGCAAAATTCCAGTTAAACTACACGTGAATTGTCGGGCTATGTTTTGGGCATTGGTAGATAGGTTTCACGCTATCTTTTGTCACACAGTTCGAAATAAAGCCAGACAGAACTTTCATAAGAAAAGAAACCATTTTCCCGATTTTGATGTTCGTGAGCCCTGCACCAGTTTGAAGTCTGTCTATTTAAGCATATTTCATCAGTGGTGAGGGAATTCGGCGCTTTTTCACCCAGTTAAGTCTTGGTAATGTTTGTCCAAGGGTTTCATTACATACCTGAGGACTTCCTCTATTAATCATTTCCGATATTCTCAACGCCTTTCACAATCTGACCAAGTCGCCGCCGATCCGTAGCACTGAACCTCTTTGGCCTCCCCGCCCCTGTGTTGTGCTCAATCCCAACTCCTGACTGAATATTCTTCAAAGTTCTGTATACTCTTTTGCATTCTTTCAAAATCATCTAGATCCAGCTATCTTGTCTCTTCTGCTGTCACATGTGCCATGCCAACAAGGGAAGCCGTCTGCTACACCAGGGGAGATAACTCTTGATGTAGTATGGTTCATTCAGGAAACAAAGATTTGTACATGAACTAAACTGTACAAGACACTTGTGCAGTAGCGCATACATATACATAATTGAGTGGAATAGAATGTTGCACTAGCGAATACATACACGTTAACGAGTAAAAATAACCATTGCTAAAGCGACTTCATATACATGTCAGAGTAGAATGAAACGCTGCATTAGCTAATGCATATACTTAAATGAGTAAAATAAAACAATGCACCAGCAAATACAATCATATACATAAGTCAGTGGAATATAACGTTGGATTTACCCTGTTATGATCACAATTTAATTGCGATTCCGAAACAGATGCTCCTGAAAAAATCGGAATCTTCAAATGGACCCTGCTTTTGGGACATATTTTCTTATCATTATAGCATTAACACATCACAATTTAATTCTGGGCTCACAAAAGTCCAGAAACTCTCCGCACTGTGGGCACTTTCTGACAAGGGATTTGACCAAATGGAACATGCAGTTGTTATGAATACATGCCAAGGATGAAAAAATGAAAAAGAAAATCTTCGAAAACTTTAAATTTAAACTCGCTCGCCCATGGCCACTGTTCGAGCAAGTTTAAATTTAAAGTTTTCTAAAAAAAATTTTTTCATCCTTGGCATGTATTCATAACAACTGCATGTTCCATTTGGTCAAATCCCTTGTCAGAAAGTGTCCACAGTGCGGAGAGTTTCTGGACTTTTGTGAGTCCAGAATTAAATTGTGACGTGTTATAAGGTATTGATACAGTTGCAGGCAACGATAAGGTCTCCTTGGCTTTAGTTCTATCTATTGTATCTGAGGGCTAGAAATCATCGTCCAAAATGGAGCCAGAACACGTTTTTTGACAGGCGAGCGGATCTTCCAAATACAGCCGGGGTCGCGGGGTCATGTACCTTTTTAAGAAGTTCCGGAGAAGAAATAGTTCCCTCTTTTAAAGGCTGTATCGCAGTTGTTCTTGGGTCTACGGTCAAAACAATTAGTGTTCTGGAATCACCAAGACACCATCTACCACACTGGCACTTTTTGTGCAGTATCTGCACATTTTTGGAGCAAACTACTCAGAAAACTGCTGAAAAACATGGCCAAATAACTGCCAAACGATACGTTTTAGCGACTTGACCCGTCCAGGCAAAATTGTTGGGAATTCGATTGTGCATCTGTACCAGTAATTTGGAAGTGTTGGAACAATTCGTTATTGAGATGTTTGCTGTCAAACGTTGAAATTTTGGAAGTAATTTTGAATCAGGGTTTTAACCCCTGGACATGGTAGACAGCCCGACAGACTTTCTAATGGTCAAGGTCAACAAGGTCACGGGGGTCAAAGTCATTTGACCGGTCCGTCACAAGAAAAAGTACTTCTTTGACGAGCTAAGACGCCGCTGTTACTGCTTCTGGGCTAAAAGGAATTGGTGTTTCTGCTTTGCCCGGACCTAGTGTATCGTATGGAATGGTTAAACTCGGCAAAACTGATCCCGACGTCTGTCCGCATGTCTGTCCGCCAAACTATTTCCCCGCTATTTTCTCCGGAACTATTCGACATACAGAACTGAGATTGTGCAGTAAGCTTTCTATTAACTGTGCCTACTACTATAGTACATGTCAAGTCATTCCCTTTTTAACTTTCGTTGGTATGGCAATCTAAAAAAAAATAAGTTTAAATCCAAGATGGCGGCCAAACGGCGGGACGTATCCCCTCGGAACAAAGCAATCGAAAATCATTGGAATCTCATCGCAGAGACACATACCAAATATGGACGCTATTGGGTCGATGCTGACGGAGATATATGCTGTTTTATGCCGTTCTGATAGCATATCGCATTTTTGCACTCTTTTCAATCCAATATTGCCGCCAAACTACGTGACTTTTGACATATGACTAAGAACAGAAAATGTACAGGAACAACAGACAACTTCTAAACCAGCTTGTTGAAGACTTTTCCCTGGTAAGTTTGCTTTTGAAAAAAACCGTGAAGAGGTCTGAAAGTTTTTGAAGAGAACTTTGGCCCGGAAGTAGCTCTCAATATGGCGGCCATCGAAGGCATACACAAGGGGTCAACAGCATGAACATTAATCTACGCAGTAGGGATACAATGACGTGTCAACCCAGTCAGCGAGCCTGACCACCAGATCCCGCTAGTTACTCCTGCAATATCACGGCGGAGGACAACAGAGTGGGAAACAAACTGAGTGATTCATATGGTGACATGTCATACAATACCCATGTATGACTTACGGTGATAACACCTGTCGTTGATCCGGCCTGCGGCACATCCCCCAGGAGATGTTCCATTTGTCTTGATGCAAACATCACCATCCACGTAGTTGCCACACTGGTCGTCACAGTTAGGACCATAGTAACCATTAGGACATGCTGTGAACATAACGAAGTATATATTCTTGCTGTCTCTATTATTTGAAAGGACAATGGAATGTGGCCGTCATAAAAACACCCCGTATAATGAACGTCTCTGCTTCTTAACATCGAAAATGAACTCCAAACTATTCCCAATAAAGAGCTGACTGTTTTTCAAATCATCTGACTCAACCACCGACAACTGAAACCTTCATCCGACTGTTGTAGTCGGACAATATCCATATTTTAAAATCATTAAGTAAATATTTTCCACAAGTGCCCCATATAAGAAATGAGTAAATATATCATTAATTAATACTAAACTATACACAGCTTTATTACCGAAAATATTACTGAATAAATCTTTCTGTCTGAAAGGACGTACTTGAAGTTGTGTTTATATTATTTTATTTCAGCGAGCAACTGAATACCCTCCATCACATCCACTCCCGGAGGTTCCGTTAGTTTTGTCGCATAATGTTTGTTCAATAATGCTTACAATAATCTGTGATTATTTTAATGTAGACATGTACATACTCAAATTTCAGGTTCAAACTTCGAAGGTTATGTCAATATTTAATACAGTATTATGACTGAATGTGAGCCACACATCAAGTCACATATTAGAATGGTACACATTTGAAAATTGAACAACGCTGGCGGAATTTGACCAAATACTTTAAAATTTTGGTTTGAGCTTAAGGTTTTTTATAGTTGGTGTTGGAATTAAAGACTTTAGTATCGTAATACGTATCGCCACCCGTGTATAGGGATTCGTATCGTATCGCAGCTTTAGTGCAAAATACTTTGGCAATATCTCGGCGTGACTAAAAATTTAGTATCGTGATATATCGTATCGCATGTTGTATGCCAATACAAGCACTAAGGTATACTTTCTCCAGTTCCCTGTTATGTACATGTATGATGAATGGCGTGTCCTGCTTCACTATACAGATTTCTCCCTTACATTAATATTTACATATTGTAAATGAAGTAAAATATTCCGATCTTTAACATACATTAAACAAACACATGATGAACGCTGTATCTGTACTTCTAATGACAAAATAATGCATGAGTCTAAGAGACCCCTTATGTACTTACGAAGAAGGCATTTGTAGGTTTATGAGTATTCCTTACACCTGGTAAAATATACTGACAATGTCTTTAAATCCTCACCCTTGCGATTTTTTGTGAAGATCCGAGATGTTTTGCTAACTTGTCTCAGCGAAACAATTTGCTCAAAAGACTCACGTTGGGTGGATTAACATCCAATACATCATGTAGTATCTACAATAAAATATTACAAAATTCCGACAATTATTACGTTCAGAGCATGTACCTGTTTGGCAGTCCATTCCCATGTATCCTGGAGCACATCCACCCAGACACTGTCCAGTGATCTTTTCACATACTTCTGTGTTTAGCGAACAATGACACTGTTTGTCACAGTCCTCACCAAACCAGCCGTCGCTACAAACTGAAAACGAGCATGATGTGTACCAAACAGGAATTGTAATTGACAAGATCAAAATCAAATTAATATCACGTTTCATAATTATCAATAAACAAAACTGTACAAAGAGCTTTTTCCTTTCAAACAATAAATATAACAAGACAATAAGTAGAAACTGGGAAGACAATTCGCCATTACCGACAAAGTACAAAGCATTACTATCATAACTACTCTCTCACTACGAACCCTTATTTGGGGTCTGTTATCTGTAATGTCACTCACAAGGGGTTTCAATGATTGGTTTGTCATCAGTTGTCTCAGGACAGAGTCAAAACGTTCACAAGCCTCATCTTTAGACCTTTCCCCCACATTCACATTGTTCAAACCAATTCTTAAATCAAAACATGTCATTTTTCCCTTAAAAGCTCAAAGATGCATGTTAACCTACCAAATATCTGCACCTCGCACAGCGTGAGATAATCGCTTGTCTGTATGGTGAGGTTGTTTCCTATCAGTGCTTGCTGACATTCGACGTCGGCTATAGCAGGCGGATAGGTGGTATGTGACTACTGGAAGCACAGTTGTCCGCCAGCATATATCTTCATGTCTTTGTTTCTGAACAGAACTGGGAATGCGAAAATTCGCAGTCTCTTAGGGGTCAGGGGATACAATTGATGAAGCGACATTTCGAATAGGGCCTTGTGAAAAGGTACAGGTTATTGCATACAGAAGAAAGGCCAATGTTACGTGAGGTCTACATGGTCAAGGTTGATGACCCAACGGTAGCTGAACATACAACATTCCGTACGTAACACAAGAAACACACACCTAGAATGCCTTATACTTTTCAAAGATTTAGTAATTTATATGTAGCTAGACAGGATATTATTGTTTAGCGAAACAAAAACAACATATATATTTGAATATTATTAATTTGTTTTAATTTATTATAGGATATTTATATCACGCACATATCCACGCAACTAGTATATGCTCAAGGCACTGTATGGATGCCCATACTCACAGCCCTGACGAAGATACAGCTTGATCTGTTGTATCTTGTCTGTGTTTGAGTTGTTCAGGTACACAGTCCATGTTTGGTCTCCACTGTTGGTATGTGTCAGTGGTTTACTACGGAAGTCGGTGGTAGCTCTGCCATCCACGCCGTACCAGGCCTCATAGCGGTGTGTTGTATTCCCTATCAGGACGCTGATATCAGTGAAAGTACTGCTCTGTCTGGCACTTCGTCCTAAGGCAATATTTCCTGAAGCAAATGAAACCAAGTATATCATACTTAGTTAGGTTTATTGTATGACAACAGTTAATGCATGGCCGGGTACATTATTTCTAACTATCCATTTTACTTGACATAGTCAAGCTTCATACGTCCTTCATAACAAGCAAACGTGGGACCATGATTACAGAGGAGAAACAGCATTTCAAAATATAATATCCCGGTGTCAGCGGTTTTCTATGGTGGCTGATTAGGGCCATCGCTTTCTCGCCTTAAAATTCGGAGGCGAGAAAGCGAGAAAGCGATATCACGAGACGAGAGAAAGCGAAAACGCGACACGAGAAAGCGATAACACGAGACGAGAAAGCGATAGCACGAGACGAGAAAGCGATATCATTTCGCGAGAAAGCGATAGAGCGAGAAAGCGAGAAAGCGATAGAGTGAGAAAGCGATAGAGCGAGAAAGCGATAGAGCGAGAAAGCGATAGAGCGAGAAAGCGATATTACCCACAATTCAGTGCTGTCTGCGCGCATGATCGACTACAAACGGGAGCTCAGTCGCCATCGTAATTTCTGGATAGTGTTAAATGGTTTTCGGTAATGTTCTTGCCCACGAATGGCGGTGTATGACTTGACGTTTAGAAAATATCTACTAGAGATGTAGACTTTCCTTTGAAATGCAATTTGCACGTATGCAATAGTCATATCGTGAAATAACGGAAACGTTCATTTTGTGATGTGACATAAGGAATTACATATTTTTTGACATAACTGGATTCGAATTGTCTTAACCAACTTAATCACACCAACCAATTGAATTGTTTCTTTGATGGGCATTTTAGATGTTGAGTTGATGAAGAATAATGACAATTATATTGGATATACAACTTCTTTTATTCTGTGGATGCGACGTTTCGACATAGATTCTAATGCTGTTGACAAGCAAGTGATACATGAGTAACAAATTGAGAGAATATATACATGAGTTGTTATTACAGTAGATAGGGAATGAGTTGTTTATACATTAAATGAGGTTGATGTACAACGTTTGTAGAAGAGATTGAGTAAGTTGATTGGAAACCAGAAGGTTGATATACAAGGACTGAATTAGAATTTATAGCAGGCCAGGTGGATGTATATACAAAAGATGGGTTTGATGTACATAGTTGAATTGAAACAGATAATTTACACAAGAAATATTATTGATTACTTTATCAAGTGATTGTAGGCATTGGGAATGTACTATCCTTCATCTCTGTTGAGAGCGGAACGTATCTTCTTGATGTGTACTGCTTCCAAAAGTTTCCGAATTTTCTAGTCTGACTGGTTCTTTTCTATGGTTTTCTTTGAATTATGATGTTGTGTGAGAAATGTGTTGGAAGTGCCAGATGAACGGGAGGGACCTATGACAAATAAGGCATTGTGACGAGTATATTTTCATGGCGATTTCCTCCATGAGTGGCCAGCACTAAGACAATCAACCACATCCAAACCATCATCCTAAAATAAAATCACTGAGTGAGTGTGTGAATTGAAATATATGTCGCCTAAGAGCAATATTCATGTTTTAGGTTCATTGTTGATGGTTTTGTGACGCCATATTGTACGCCATCAGTTCAATTCCAACTTAATGGAATGGTGAGTTACACTTACATTTCAAACAAATTGGAGCTTGCGTTTCCTTTGCAGCTCAGTTTATTACATATACATCACATTCAGAGAGTTTTGAAGTATGTGACACTATAAATGAGCCGTATGTAGACAATTCAAAAATAATTATCAGTTCTCGCTGTTAGGTTATAGGTGGAGGAATTAGAAATGAGGCATGAGAACTTAACCGTTTATGTTTATGTCACTTTATTGTATTTCAGGGTGATCAAAATACAGCTGTAGTTTCTTTGAATTAATAAAGACGATGAAATTTATTAACTGAAGAACTTCACCTACATAAAACCCAATTCGCTCCTACCCCAAGATAGAGGAGACGCACGTGACAGTAAAGCACCTTGGTACCTCAATGTAGTAACAGAACCATTCCACAGTCAATGGTGTAATCTAAGCAAATATAAGGATGCAGTCAAAGGTTCGTCTAATCAAAGCTGAAAATAGTAGGCAGTTAAACGCTGGTCTAGCCATATATAGTGAACTTCTTTGGATGGCATTTAGAAGCTGGTGGTGTCTTTAACAACGGGAAAAGTTATATGGATATAAAACTCCTTTATTATAATATAAGCGACATTTTGGTCCGCCAATTTCAAACCTGTTCTGCCATCAAAATATCTATCAAAACCCATCTTTTCCGCCATGTTTTCTTCTGACAAAAGTTAGATAATAGACATGTTATACCAACAACTGGTTTTCTACAATATATTGTTACCCTCCGCCGCCATTTTGACTGTATGTAATAATTGATGTGTGTGATATGTACTCTTATACCACCTTTGGTGGTCTATTGAGAATAAAAGTAAAGTAAAGGCTACAGCTGGACGTGGTCGCATAGGTTTTGAAAAGCTGATTAGTGTATCCAGTTAATCTTTCGTAACATTTTCTTTTCCAGAGGAGGACTTGAAACTCGTTCAATATATGGAACTATCTACCTGTATCATCTTGTTTTTAACCTGGTCAACTCATGTCAAAACGATTCAAATCGAATGAGAGCAATAGGTGGCATTCACTGGGATGCAGACAAATAAACCCTCCTACACATCTACAAAACATTTATCTTGTACACACTGGAGTGAGTCGCTCCCGTCCTTCTCCATCCCCAACTAAACTCCATGCTAAACATGTCATTTGTTGTTTCCTTTTACGTTTTATGTATTTGTCTACTGCAAGATACCATTTGCTTTAGAACATATGCTCTACAATCTACACAGTTTGAACATGGTTTTCTATCTTTTTGCTTACACATATATGAGATGAATATTGCACTGCCCACTGTCCCCCACTTTGTATTGTTTGTACTGTTTATAAGTCAAGATAATGGGGGTTGATATATGCCAGTATCGAATGGCAGTTGGGCTTTTTGCATCTATTCTTTACGTTAGAAACCGACGCCGTTTTGACAAGTTCTTGTGCTTTTGTATAGTTCTATACTTATGTCTAGGGGTTCGTTACTTTTTAACAATATCAATCCTCCTGCTATGCTCTGGGAATATCCACCTACACCCGGGACCTTTGTTCACTATCGTGCATTTGAACGTGAGGAGCTTAAAGGATAAGGTTGACTTAATAGTTGCAGAATATGGTAATAATGATATGTTTTAAACATATTTTATTCCATTCAAGAAGAAAGAAAAGGATTGGCAAACAAGCCTAAGTGGCTTAAATAATGATATCATTTGTTTATGCGAAACTTGGTTACACCCTGACATTTAAAACGACAAAATTATGATACCAGGTTTCCACCCACCGATTCGTAAAGATAGGCCTACAAGGGGAGGAGGGGTAGCAGTATACGTAAAAGATAATCTGTTTTTCACTTATGTTGCCGATCTTGATCTTCCAAACTTAGAGGCGGTATGGATTGAAGTGATTGCAAACAATAATAAACTGCTGATTGGTACATTCTATAGGGCGAAAGAGGAATTATTACTGGGATTTAATTGATGAATCATTCGCGAAAGCTGCGGATAAAAACACTAAAATGATTGTTGTAGGTGACTTTAACGCTAACATACTCAACAGACGCAATGACAAAATTGAATACTTACAATTGTTCCACAACCTAACACAACTTGTTGTTGAACCTACACGCATAACAGATACCACAACTTCTTTGCTTGATCTTATCTTTACTTCTATTTATAGCATTGTACATGAAAGGTGTTCTCCCTCCAATATGCAGTGATCATAGTCCAGTATTTGTCTCCCTCAAGTTTGGAAAGCCACGTAAGGAATCTTATGAGCGAATTATATACGATTATATCCACGCAGATTATGATGGCTTGAGTGATTGCATTGCTGCTAATGATTGGGGAAATATTACTGACCACAGTGATATTGATACATCTGTTTCACTATTTACTTCAAAATTATTACATTTGATAGATCAGTACATACCCCTTAAAGAGATTGTTGTTAGACCGGGGGATTGCTCTTGGGTGAATGGCCACTTGCGTAAGCTAATGAGGAAAAGAAATCGTATGCATAAAAATGCTAAAAAGAGAAATTTACCGGTAGATTGGGAGCGCTTCAGAGTAGCACGAAACAAAGTCAACTCCGAAGTTAGGAAAGCTAAACGCGCGTATGATATGAAACTAGATGATAGTATTAATTCTGAATGTGGTTCTAAATCATGGTGGCGCTTAGTGAAATTATATATACAGCACAATACAAATCC